TCCTGACAATTTCATCTCTCCAGTCTTCCTAACATCCTTTGTTCAAGCCATCAGCAACATTTCCTCTGGACTCTTCTGGTGCTGGTGTCCTACCTAATTTCTCTGCCTACAATTTTGTTGCCCTCAAATCTACCTTTTATAGGGCAACAGTGATTATCCTGAAACTGGAATCATTTCACATGACTTTCTATTTGAAAGTTCTTGCAAGAGTTCCTTCCATTGACTGAGTAAGTTCAAGCTGCTTAACAAAGCAAGTTAAATTTTCCACGATATGGCCCTTAATTCTCTTGCCCTTCCTTCAATTGCAGTTTATGTATTGGTAACACTGACTGACTTATCCATAAGCACCAAGTTGTTTTAGACCTCTCAGGCTGTGTAAGTAATGTGACATACTTTCTTTTCACCTGATAAAACTCTACTCATTCTCCTACACTCATCCTGTTTAAGATTCCTTCTAAGTACTTTCTTGTCATGACACATGTCTTCATCAATACCACAGATACCTAAGAATTTATCTTATTCTCAAATTCATCATGGTAAACTGAATTTAGTTATGTATATTTATACTTTCTACACTTACTTTATTTTTTTTGGCTCACAAATGACAGTACTATGTTTATCTTTGTATTCCTAGAACATAGTAAATGACTGCTACATAATAAATGTTTGTTGGACTGAATAAAAAATCTTATTGTCACAGACATCTATTTATTTCTGACTTCTTAGACAATAAGTTAGACATTAATATGTACTACGAGGGAAGGTAGAACAATTTCAAATCTGCCTTCTGGTTTTGGGAACTCTAAACATATATTTAAATTTTCTAGCATACTGTCCCTTATTCTACTTCATTTATTTAAAAACTAAAAATGAGGTGCATTAAGAACTTAGTGGGGAAAAAAAATGATGTCTGTAAAGAACCTAAAGGTGTTCCAAAAATTGTTTTGATTTCTGAAGACATGACACAACAGAACCATGTGATTCTTTTCCTTGCTAAGTAGCACTTTGGGGTAGGCAGGGGGAAGCAAGGCAGACAATAAATTCCATACTCTAAAGGAAAATACAGATAATATGGTTATACGGGCAGTAGATAAAAATGCCAGGAAAGTGTTTTAAAAATATAAAGAGTTGACAAGGGAGTGTCCTGTGGTTGGTGGCAGCTGGCAAACTGCCTTTTTAATAATTTTTCATTTTACTCAGAGTAAAATGTGAAAGCACTAAAAATCTTGAGCAAAAGAAATAGATGTTTTCTATGTTACCAGAATCACTCAGGCCACTCTGTTGAGAGGAGACCGAAGGAGTCTCAGGCAGAAGTCCAATTAGACTTCTAATTAGAAGAGGTTTTTAATACTTCAGATGAGAGAACAGTAGCTTGGATTGGAATGTTAATAAGTTTAAGATTATATTTGAAGTTTGAAAGAAAAACAAGCATCAAAGATAGCTCCAAGAGTGTTTGGCCAAAGTGACTGCTAGTTTCAGCATGATTTAAACCACATATTGGATATTGAGGTCACCAAAAACTGACAAAAGTATTGTTGAAGTGATGTCAGGCAGGTGGGAATTAAACTCTTTCGGAGTGACCTGGAAATCTATAGATGATAGTGGGAGATGAGGTTAGAGAGGAGATAATGGGGGAAAGGCCAGTTATCTGTAGATAGTAGCAAGGAAGCCTAATGGATAGTTCATTTTTATGAGATTAAAAGGGAGAATATAAGGAGAAAGAACAATCTGGAAATATCAGTGATTAACTATGGGGATCACTGGCCAAATCTACATGATTAATGATAAGAAAAGTGTGTAGAGAAAAATTCCCCATATGCATGTGCTGCAGAGGAAACATTGCCCTTTGCTCTGCGAGAAGGCAAAAGGAGAGAAATGATACATTTTAATGGTTTGCTTACAGTTCTCCTGCCAAAATCGCCTGGCCCTGGTGTAGTTTTGGGTAGAAGCTCTTTGAGCACTTTCTCTATTTCCTCTCTAGGACTGTTCTCTTAATATTTCTTAATCTTTGGGATCAATTTTAGTAAACTATATCTTCTTTAAAAACAATGCAATTCATGTTTTCAAATTTTGCATTTATTAAAGCAAAGCTGTCTCATGATCCTTGTAATTTCTTCTGTGTCTGTATTATTTCCATCTTAGAATTGATTATGTAAAATTGTACTTCATTTTCGATTTGATTAGCTGGTGGTATTTTCATTTAATTGTGTTTTTCTTTTTCAAGGCATCAAATTTAGATTTATCTATTGTTTTTAGAGATGTTTACAACTCATTCATATCTGCTACACTTGTTAATTTTTTCTTGTATTTCTTCATGTTTCTTTTTTTTCCTTTATGAGGTATCATAACAAGTATATAATATCTTCAAAAAAATTCTCAAAAAGAAAAGTATAGACTACTTTCACTAAACAAAATGACAAACATAATCCAACAATGTGTTTCAAAATTAAAACACCATGGCCTAATGGAATTCATACTGAAAATGTAAAATGGATTTATTTAGGAAATACATATATTAAGAACAATCATACCATTAGTTCTAGAAGAAAAGTCATTGCTGTCTTCATAGATGATGGATATTTGACTCAAATAAACCACCATTTTTATTTTTAAAAGTTATTAAAATAGGAATACTTTCTTAACACAATAAAATATGTTTTTCTTAAAGATAATCTAATACAATGGGGAAAAATGGGAAGTGTCCCCACTTGAGTTAAAAACAAGGAAACATTTTTATGGGGAGCTCTAGAAATACATATATTCGATAAGTGATATATATATTCATAAAGTGATATATATATTCAATAAGTGATATATATATTTGTAAAGTGATAATAGTGACCTCACACTATTATCAACCTTGTTTTTCAGTAGTAAATTAGATACATGCCTCTGATATTACCCAGTCCTCCTGCCCCCCACACCCCAGAACAGACACCTGCATACTTTTGTGAAATCATAGTTAATTATTTTGTGGTTTAATCTTTCTTTATTATCCTTTTCCCACAATTTAACCAAATAAGAATATGCAGTTACTGAGAATCCAGTCTCTCTGATTTTTGCAATCTAATTTAGATGTTTATAGGATAACAGAATGCTTGCTGAGCTTCTTAAATTTAATTATGGGGTTAAATGGGAGCAACAAAAAGACTGCTTTGGTTCTAATATAAATTACCTTCTCTCTGCAGGAGGAGCATTATCCGCTGCTTGGACTGTGAGTGCATATGTCCGCCCGACTATCAGTTCCACCCCTGGAGCGATGGTGATAAGGCCTGTTGTTTTATTGATGATGAAGTCTCCCTTAGCCCCAACCAGGATTTCATATGTGATCTCCCCATTTGACCCTTCGTCTGCGTCGACTGCAGTGAGCTGGAATTGAAAATCATAACATAAATCCTCTGGGACTCAACTTTTCACTATTGCGTCATTTTTCCTCCCAGGAAAAGCACCTTGCTTTCAAAGACAAAAAAGTTAGTAAAGAACATTGCCTTGGCATGCTCTTGTTTTCATAAATTGAGGCTACTGTGTTCTGATATGATACTGAAGCAATCGCAGCTGGTAGAATTATCTTTCTTTCTTTTCTTGTGAAAGTGATTAAAAAAATAAAAAGTTTTTTGGATCTTGATGACTATTTTAATTTAATAAGAAAGAGAGAAAGAGGAAAGCCCTAAAGTAAATCTAATATTCCTATAGAAAATTAAAATTTTTATCTATCTTACCTCCTGTTCTTGACACATAAACACATGTTACTACAGACTGAGACCTGGAAAAATGAAATAGATGAAGTATGCTTTTTTTACTCCCATCCTTCTTTACTCTCATTTTTTCCATTATTAATGTTTTCCTTCCTGTCTCTCAAAAATTCTCTTGTTCTCATATCCTTTTTATTTTCATTGGCTTAAGGAAAGATTCTTATAATTTTGTTCAAACTGATATATAACAGACTGACATTATCCTTTCAAAATCAAACAAATGCATCTCCAATTGTAGAATATCTAATTAGAAAATTAGAAAACAAAGCCCAAGGATTTTTTTTTTTTTGAGGAAAGGAATTTAATTTAGAGCCCCTGAAATAATACTACATAAGCATTTGTAAGGCCACTTTGCACATATTTATAATTATTTTGGAACAAATGGTATGTATTAATTAAAGACTACATTTGGACCATGTGTGAAAAAAGAACGACTATTATTAATTTCATAAAGCAAAATTAATGTAATAATTATTTAATATGTTAAGGCTCTTTGACTTCCAGATAAATATACATTTACCTAAGGGCGGGGGGATGAGTTCTAGTGGCAAATCTTATAATATACGTTTTATAAACATTAAGTTTTTCTTTTTTCATGATACCAAAAGTAACGGATGGAGAAAAGAAAGGTGGCCTCATTTACACATAAGAGAAACATAATTAAAAGTTTTTTGTTGTATAAAGAAAATACACATGATTGTAATAAATAAATCTGTAAAAAATTCTTATTTACTGACTTCTTAAATTATTTCTCATTCTTGAATTTTACACCTATGATGTTCTTTATTGTTCACAGACTCCTTTGGGTGGCTACTAGACACTTTGGCATACCTTCTTAGATAAATGTGAATGCACATATTTACCTTGAAACTTGAATTCAATTTCAGGAAATGAGTGTTAATTAATGGCTCATTCAAAGTTTCATATTTAATATCTTGAAATGTAAACAAAATGTTTTACACACCCCACCATGCTTAATGGGACAAGCTATGCATATGCTATTTCTATTTTCATTATCCATTGCATTTAGAGTAATAATGTACATAGAAATAACAGCAATAAAATAAATAAAAAGAAATTTGTGAGACTGACATTAATTCAGCTAAGTCTAAGATTGGGTATTTAGAGCTGGACAGATGTAGTTGTCAGAAGGAAAAACATATTATGAATGATTCTGGGATTTATGTGAGAATGACAGACATAGTCCTAAAGGCAAAGGAGAAGAAAACTATTTGCAGAAACAGTCAATAAATGATGTATATTTATGGAGAACTATTCAAGCTAGACAAACTTATTCTCTTTTATGTGTGGATAAAATTAGAAAATTAGAAGATGGGGGTAGCAGAGGAGATATCAATTATGATTATAGTAAATCAGTTAACACAATGTCTCAGGGAATCTTAATTAAAATTTGCTCAAATTGAACTCAATATTAACATTTTTTCTGGGACTTAAATTGGCTAACGGAATTTAATGATAAATGGCAATGCATCAAGTTAATAAGTGTTGAGGAGCATGCTTCGGAGATGAAGGTATTACGGCTGGTCTTATTTAACATTTTCATAAATGAGGTTGGAAGAAAGGATAAGCCGGATTATAATTAAACTGAAGAAGGTACCCATCTGGGAGGTACCATAAATACCAAGTAGTACTGCAAAGCACAGGTAATAGAAACAGCCCTAAAACTGCAGAGCCAGTCAACCATGGATGAGCTAATATATTCAGGGACCACAAATAGTTTCACAGAAACCATTAGCAAAAAGAAGTTTAACAAAAAAGCCAAAAATAAATTTTATGTTTAGGATGAATAGCTTTATAGGATTTTTTACACTTTTAGTACTAAATAGTAGTAATAAAACAGCATAAATGAGTCCCCACACATGTAAACAAAAATATTTTAAAGAAATTATTGGTGGTCCAAGATTAGAAAAGAGAGCTGAGACACTGACTCTGAATATGCATAAAATGGTAATCTCTCCTGTGAAAGACCCTGAACCAAAACTATTGTGGGTATTTAATTCAATTACAATTTAGTGACTTTGTGATCAGTAGTCTATGAGATTATGGTATATGAAGCCCTCCACTAATTTAGAGGGGAAATCTGCCTCCTAACTAATCCCTTTTCAAGAGATTGAAAAGGATTTGGTTTACATTGAGAAGCCAAAGTGTTGCTTACATATTATTGCATGAAAGTAAGTAAAATCTATGTTTTTAACTTGTTTGGCTTAAATGTTATATCTAAATGGTAAGAAACACTAAGTTACATGTTTATATATTTCTTTTCCATAATTGCAGTCCTTTTTAGGAAGTTTAATCTTATCCTCCCACAATTTCTTTCTTTCCATATTCCAATATGTACCTACTACAGATATCCTTATTGTCAGCTACCTGTCAATCCTCCACACACACACACAAATTCTTGTTTGCCCCACCTATTCCTTTTCTAGTTTCTAGTTTCTAGTTTCTAGTATTTCCTTTCTAGTCTCTCTTGCATTTCTTTTTCTTGGGTTCAATAAATCAACAAATATGGCTTTACACAAAAGGGCAAATGTAAAGAATATTAGATCATAAACTAAACAAAAAAATCAAATTGGAGTCTCAAAACTGAAGCATAATCGAGAGAATAAAAGTCATAATTGATATAGAAATAATAACCAGAACTAAACTATAATATAAAAGTGCGAATATAGTATTTTTATTAGTATATTTTATTAGTATATTTTTATTAGTATATTTTTAGTATATTTTTATTAGTATATTTTATTAGTATATTAGTATATATTTTATTAGTATATTAGTATATAATATTAATATATTGAGTATATTTTCATTAGAAATTAATTATGGTTAAATTGATCATGAATAAGTGTGTTGACCATTCAACATTTTTGCCTCCTGGGAATCCTGGGTCCTTGTTTCTAATAAGAGTTCATCATCTTTTTTGGGGGGGTAGGGGTTAAGAAATTCACCCCCTCATACTCCATGTTGAGTGGGGCTAACATTTAGCTAAAATGATGGAAGTGAGATTCAGGCCTGGACATTATTTGGTTCAAGAATTGTCAGTTATCTGTCTATGGCCATGCCACCCTGAACAAGCCTAATCCCATCTGATCTTGGAACCTAAGCAGGGTCGGGTCCGGTTAGTACTTGGATGGGAGATCACCAAGGAAGACCAGGTACTGTAGGCATAAAAATAAAAAAAAAAAATAATAAGGATCATAAGTTGATAAGGTTCTTGCAATCTGTGATGTCAACCAAAGGTTGCTTTACCTAAAAAAGTTTTAAAAATAAAATGAAATAAATAAGAATTGGCAGTTATTTAAATTTCTGTAGTCAAGAGGACCCCTAAAATTTCTGTAGTCAAGATTGGCTTTTATTTTTTTCTAGGGGTAGACTGGTAAAATTATACCTGGTGTTCTTGCTAATCTTCTCATCTGCATTGGATCTGCCTAAGACTAAGCCCCAAAAGAAGACAATGTCAGAGAATAAGTAGAGAATATGATTGATGTAATTGTTTCCAGTTATGCCAGAACTAAATTCACTACTAATCTTTCCAGATATATGAATGAAAAATATACTTTTTAAAAAATAAGCTAGTTTAAGTTAAAATTAGGCCACTTCATAATATTATAGGAAAAGAGTTTTATAATTAATTATTCTTCTTGGCTTGCTTTATGGTCATATGTTCTAGGATTATTATACTTTGAGACGTGGTGCCATTTGGTCATTAATGCATCAAATCATCTTTGATTCAATGGATGGTTATTCATTAAATGGACAAAGATCATGCTATGAAAGTGGTAGAATTGTTCTTGTGAAGAAATCATGATGAACTATGTAATAAGAAATGAAAAAATATATACACAGATAAATAACGAGTAAATATGTTCTTTGTACTAGTTGAATTCTTTTTAAAAACGCAATTATCTAACTTGTAAAATTAGGCACTTTTAAAAATATATTTCTTAATATATATTTTAGTCTCTAATATTTAAGTTAGCATTAATAAAATTTATAAAGCTTACTCCTTCATCAAAGGAAAAAAGAAGGGAAGAAAGGAGGAAAGAAAGAAAGAAAAATAAAGAAAGATCTTCTCCTGTGGTGAGGTTTGGACAAATAAAAGGTCAACACTGGATGGCCTCTGGGGAGACAAATTGCTCATGCACCACATTTATACTCAGAAGCTTATGTCAGTGAAAAGTTATACCTAGGGCATGGTGTATTGTTATGGTGCCACACCAGATGAAACCCAGAGTTGCCTAAGAAATAGTCTCTATTGCCTACTTTGTTAATGGAAAATATATGATATGTGAGAAAAATCTTTGTAGAGAAATTTGAGAAAATAACGTGGTGATATTAATTGAAGCGTGCTGTGCTAAACATTTAATCTCTCTGCCTCATCTCTATGATGTAATAAAAGATTTTTGATTCATTTATACAGTTAAATAAAAATGAAAGTTATATAGATATTGATCTTGTGGACAGAAAGATTATTTGGAAAGCAACGTAAAACTCACAAGCTAGGTAATAACTATGGAGACAGATTTGCCAGAGGAAGAATTTAGTCTATATTTGGAAAACTTACATACGAAGTTGAAAGTTTCTATCAACACTTAT